TGCTGGATAGGGACAGTAATTTCTGGGTGGCGACAGTAATTTTTGGATGGTGACACTCACTGCTGGATGGGGACACTCATTGCTGGGTTGGGCCAATCCCTGCTGCATGGGACAGCCATTTCTGGATGGGGACAGTCACCACTGGATGGGGACACTCCTTGCTGGATGGGGACACTCATTGTAGTATGGGGACAATCACTGTTGGATGGGGACAGTCATTTTTGGATGAGGGCAGTAATTTCTAGATGGGGACACTTATTGCTGGATGGGGACAGTCTTTGCTGGTTGGTGACAGTCATTTTTGGATGGGGACACTCATGGCTAGATGGGGACACTCGTTGTATGGGGACAATCACTGCTGGATGGGGACAGTCATTTCTGGATGGGGACACTGGGGATTTTTTGGGTGGGGACAGTCCCTGTTGGATGGGGACACTCATGGCTGGATGGGGACACTGGTTGTATGGGGACAATCACTGCTGGAATGGGGACAGTCCTTGCTGAATGGGGACACGAATTTCTGGGTGGGGACAGTAATTTTTGGATGGGGACACTCCTTGTTGGATGGGGACATTCATGGCTGATGGGGACAATCTTTTCTGGATGGGGACAGTCACTGCTGGATGGGGACAGTAATTTTTGGATGGGGACACTCTTTGCTGAATGGGGACAGTCATTTTTGGATGGGGACAGCCACTACAGGATGGGGACACTCATTTTTGGGTGGGGACAGTCCCTGTTGTATGGGGACAGTCACCACTGGATGGGGACACTCATTGCTGGGTTGGGACAATCCCTGCTGCATGGGACTGTCATTTTTGGATGGGGACAGTCCCTGCTGGATGGGGACACTCATGGCTGGACAGGGACACTTGTTGTATGGGGACAGTCCCTGCTGGATGGGGACAGTCCCTGCTGTATGGGGACACTCCTTGTTGGATGAGGACATTCATGGCTGGATGGGGACAGTCCTTGCTTGATGGGGACACTCATTTCTGGATGGGGACACTAATTTTTGAATGGGGACAGTCACTACAGGGTGGGGACAGTAATTTCTGGGTTGAGACCGTCCCTGCTGGATGGGGACACTCCTTGTTGTATGGGGACACTCATGGCTGGATGGGGACAGTCATTGCTGAATGGGGACAATCACTATTGGATGGGGACAATCATTTTTGAATGGGGACGGTCATTTTTGGATGGGGACACTCCTTGTTGTATGGGGACACTCATGGCTGGATGGGGACACTAATTTCTGGGTGGGGACAGTAATTTTTGGATAGGGACCCTCATTTTTGGATGGGGACCCTTCTTGCTGGATGGGGACACTCCTTGCTGGGTGGGGACACTCATGGCTGGTTGGTGACAGCCATTTTTGGATGGGGACACTAATGGCTGGATGGACACCTGTGAGTGTCCCTGTCCCCCTCCCAGTGCCACCCCTAAGGGCAAGGACGTGCTCCTGTCCCTCTCCAGGCTGTTCCTTCATCTTCTCCTCCTCCTCCTCCTCCTCCTCCTCCTCCTGTCCTTCCTCCCTGGGAGCAGCCAAGGGCAGGGAGAGCAGCTCCAGGATCAGATCACCCCCCCAGCCCAAGGACAGCTATTTTTATTATTTTATTATTTTATTATTTTATTTTATTATTTTATTTTTGGGAAGCTGCAGGGACAGGGACAAGGGGGACATGGCACAATCGCCAGGCCCAGCAGATGGAAACACCTGAATTTCCTCCTTTGCCACACACAAGGTGAAAAGAAATCTATCCTTGTGCTGCCATCACAAACTCCTCAAATGAATAAGCAAATAAGAAATAAATGAATAAACATTTATATAAGTGTATATATATATACACTTATATATATATACTTCTATATATGTAGTATATATATACTTATATATATAATATATCTAGTATATATAGATAGTATATATATACTTAAATATATAATATGTATATTATATATATATACACCATATATATAAGTATATATATACTATATATAAGTATATATATACTTATATATATAGTATATATATACTTGTGTATATACTTGTGTATATATACTTATATATATAATATATATGTGTAAATATATGTAAGTATATTTATATATAAAATACATGTATATATATAAATAAATATGTATAAATATATAAAATATATATATAAATATATCTAAAATATATAAATATATCTAAAATACAAATTATCTAAATATATAAAAATAAATATATAAATATATATAAATAAAATATCTATAAAATATACTTTAATATATAAAATATTAAAAATGCAATAATAAAAATAAATTCGAATAATAAAAATAAAAATTTCATAAATAATAGAAATAACAAAATACACAATTTTATAACAAAATACAATTTTAAAATTAAGAGAAATAATTTCATAAATAAAAACATAATAGAAATAACAAAATATAAAATATAATTCGAATAAATGAATAAAAATAATAATGAATAAATCCAAATCAATCAATCAATCCCAGCCAGCAGCACCAGCCTGTCCCCAGCGCAGGGGTCTCGGAGCAGGGACTGTCCCCTGGTGCCACCCCAGAGCAGCCCAGGCTGGGCAGGGCTGGCACCACGAGCTGTGCCAGGTGCTGCACGCCGGGAGCATCCGCCCTGCCCGTGCCAGCCCAGGCTGTGCCACCTGCCAGGGCTGGCACTGCCACGGCCTGGGGGCTGCAGGGACCCCTCAGGGCACCCTCCAGCCCCTGCTCTGGGAGATGGAGGAGTGATCTTCTGGCGAAATATGTTTTTAAAATCTTTATTTTATATATATATAAAATTTATATATATATATATATACATAGATAGATATAGAGATATAGATAGAGATTTAATATATATTCTATATTATATATTGAATATTTTCTATGTATAATGTAGACTATTATATAAATAGATGATATACTATATATTTCTGATTTTAATATATTTTTAATAATATATAGATATGTTATATGCTATATATATATGAAATCTATTATGTATTTTAATATATTTTGTTTACATTATAGTATTTTATATATTTTATATGTTTATATATTTTTATAAAAATATGTATTTTATATGGATATTTTATATACACATATACATTTTATATATATATATCTATCTTTATATATATTATATACATTGTATTATTTTATATATAGTTATATTTATGTGTATAAATATATATTTATATGTACATTTTAGATATACACATATACATTTTATATATATTTCTCTTTTTATATATGTGATATACATTATAATATTTTATATATTTATATTTTTATTTATTTATAAAAATATATATTTTATATGTTTATATATATACATATAGGTTTTATATGTATTTCTCTTATATATATTATACACATTGTAATATTTTATATATAGTTATATTTATGTATATAAATATATATTATATATATTTTATATATATACATATAAATTTTATATACATTTCTCTTTTGATATATTTATATATATGTTATATTTTAGAATACTATTTTGGCATTCCATGAGTCCCTCACTGAGCAGGATTTCCAGAGAAGCCTCAAACTGGAATTAAAACCATCCCCATCCCCAATTCCATCCTCACTGGCCAAATTTGGGATCTGCTCGTGGCAGGACCCTCCAGCAGCTCTGGAGAAGTGTTCCTGTCCCTGGGAGCTGCCCTGGGGACAGCAGTGTCCCCATGGCTGCTGCAGGTGGGGTGGCAGGGCTCAATCCCTCCCCAGATGCCACCAGGCAGTGCCAGCTTCTCCTGCTGCATCCCAGAGAGGGCTTGGAGCACCCTGGGACAGTGTGAAGTGTCCCTGCCATGGCAGGGGTGGCACTGGGTGACATTTAGGGTCCCTTCAACCCAAACCATTCCATGTGTCCCTCACTGGCCAGGATTTCCAGAGAAGCCTCAAACTGGAATTAAAACCATCCCCATCACCAGTTCCATCCTCACTGGCCAAATTTGGGATCTGCTCGTGGCAGGACCCTCCAGCAGCTCTGGAGAATTGTTCCTGTCCCTGGGAGCTGCCTTGGGGACAGCAGTGTCCCCATGTCCCCTTGGCTGCTGCAGGTGGGGTGGCAGGGCTCAATCCCTCCCCAGATGCCACCAGGCAGTGCCAGCTTCTCCTGCTGCATCCCAGAGAGGGCTTGGAGCACCCTGGGACAGTGTGAAGTGTCCCTGCCATGGCATGGGTGGCACTGGGTGACATTTAGGGTCCCTTCAATCCAAACCATTCCATGAGTCCCTCACTGAGCAGGATTTCCAGAGAAGCCTCAAACTGGAATTAAAACCATCCCCATCCCCAATTCCATCCTCACTGGACAAATCTGGGATCTGCTCTTGGCAGGACCCTCCAGCAGCTCTGGAGAAGTGTTCCTGTCCCTGGGAGCTGCCTTGGGGACAGCAGTGTCCCCATGTCCCCATGGCTGCTGCAGGTGGGGTGGCAGGGCTCAATCCCTCCCCAGATGCCACCAGGCAGTGCCAGCTTCTCCTGCTGCATCCCAGAGAGGGCTTGGAGCACCCTGGGACAGTGTGAAGTGTCCCTGCCATGGCAGGGGTGGCACTGGGTGACATTTAGGGTCCCTTCAACCCAAACCATTCCATGTGTCCCTCACTGGCCAGGATTTCCAGAGAAGCCTCAAACTGGAATTAAAACCATCCCCATCACCAGTTCCATCCTCACTGGACAAATTTGGGATCTGCTCATGGCAGGACCCTCCAGCAGCTCTGGAGGATTGTTCCTGTCCCTGGGAGCTGCCTTGGGGACAGCAGTGTCCCCTGTCCCCATGGCTGCTGCAGGTGGGGTGACAGCACCCATCCCATCTCAGGAACGAGACAAAACCCCCCCATGATTTTTGGAGCCATCTCTTCAAAGGGACAGGGCCGCCACAGAGCTGTGTGCTCAGGTGGCTTTTGGGGACACTGCTGTCCCCTGGGATGCTCTGGAGGGAGGTGACACCATCAGTTGTCCTTGTCCCCATGCAGAGAGCCAGCCCACGACGTCGGACGAGACCGTGGTGGCCGGGGGCACGGTGGTGCTCAAGTGCCAGGTGGAGGATCCTGACGATTCCTCGCTGCAGTGGTCCAACCCTGCCCAGCAGACGCTGTACTTTGGGGAGAAACGAGGTAAAACCCCAAAGTTGGGGGAAAATGAGGTGAAATCCCATGGTTTGGGGAAAATGGGGTGAAATCCCAACTGGAGGTAAAAGCCCGGAGCTGGGGAAAAAGAGGGTAGAATCTCACAGTTTGGGAAAATGAGGTAAAGTCCCACAGTTGGGGAAAAATGGGGTAAAACCCCAACTCAAGGTAAAACCCCACAGCTGGGGAAAAAGGAGGTAAAACCTCAAAGTTGGGGAAAAATGGGGTAAAATCCCATAGTTGGGGGAAAATGAGGTAAAACCCCACAGTTGGGGAAAAATGAGGTGAAATCCCACAGCTGGGGAAGATGGGGTAAAATCCCAACTGCAGATAAAAGCCCGGAGCTGGGGAAAATGAGGTAAAGTCCCACAGTTGGTGGAAAATGGGGTAAAATACCAAAACTGGGGAAAATGAGGTAAAATATCAAAGCTGGGGAAAATGGGGCCAAACCCCAACTCCAAGTAAAACACCAGAGTTGGAGAAAAAGGAGGTAAAACCCCAGAGCTGGGAAAAATGATGTAAAACCCCAACTAGAGGTAAAACCCCACAGCTGGGGGAAAATGAGGTGAAATCCCACAGTTTGGGGAAAATGGAGGTAAAACCTCAAAGTTGGGGAAAAATGAGGTGAAATCCCACAGTTGTGGAAAAATGAAATAAAACCCCACAGCTGGAGAAGATTATGTAAACCCCCAACTTGAGGTAAAGCCCCACAGTTGGGGAAAAAGGAGCAAAAACCCCAAAGTTGGGGCAAATGAGGTCAAATCCCAACTCCAAGTAATCCCAAAGTTGGGGAAAAAGGAGGTAAAACTCCAACTCAAGGTAAAACCCCACAGCTGGGGAAAAGGAGGAAAAATCCCACAGTTGGGGAAAATGAGGTAAAATCCCACAGTTGGGGAAAATGAGGTAAAATCCCACAGTTTGGGGAAAATGGGGTAAAACCCCACAGCTGGGGAAAATGAGGTAAAACCCCACAGCTGGGGAAAATGAGGTCAAATCCCAACTCCAGGTGTAAAATCCCAAAGTTGGGGCAAATGAGGTCAAATCCCAAAGTTGGGGCAAATGAGGTCAAATCCCAACTCCAAGTAATCCCAAAGTTGGGGAAAAAGGAGGTAAAACTCCAACTCAAGGTAAAACCCCACAGCTGGGGAAAAGGAGGAAAAATCTCACAGTTTTGGAAAATGAGGTAAAATCCCACAGCTGGGGAAAATGAGGTAAAATCCCACAGTTGGGGAAAAATGAAATAAAACCCCACAGTTGGGGAAAAATGAAATAAAACCCCACAGTTGGGGAAAAAGGAGGAAAAACCCCAAAGTTGGGCAAAGTGAGGTCAAATCCCAACTCCAGGTAAAACCCCACAACTGGGGAAAATGAGGTAAAACCCCAGAGCTGAGGAAAAAGGAGGTAAAATCCCAACTCCAGGTAAAACCCCAGAGCTGGGGAAAATGAAATAAAATCCCACAGCTGGAGAAAATGATGTAAAACCCCAATTGGAGGTAAAACCCCAGAACTGGGGAAAAATAAGCTAAAACCCCAACTTGAGGTAAAACCCCAGGGCTGGGGTTGGTGGCACTGAGCTTGGGCAACTGGGCTGGGGTTGGTGGCACTGGGCTGGGGGGTGGCTGGGGTGGTGGCATTGAGCTGGGGTGGTGGCACTGACCCCAGTGTCCCTTTTGTCCCCAGCCCTGCGGGATAACAGGATCCAGCTGGAGAGATCCACCCCCAACGAGCTGACCATCAGCATCAGCGACGTGGTGCTGGCCGACGAGGGCGAGTACACCTGCTCCATCTTCACCATGCCCGTGAGGACAGCCAAGGCCCTGGTCACCGTGCTGGGTAGGACATGGGCACAGCCCTAAGTGTGCCACCCTGGCTGGGAGATTGCCCTCTGTGCCTAAAATCCAGGCTGTGCCACCCTGGCTGAAAGATTTCTAATTGTTCCTAAAATCCAGGCTGTGCCACCCTGGCTGAAAGATTTCTAATTGTTCCTAAAATCCAGGCTGTGCCACCCTGGCTGAAAGATTTCTAATTGTTCCTGAAATCCAGGCTGTGCCACCCTGGCTGAAAGATTTCTAATTGTTCCTAAAATCCAGGCTGTGCCACCCTGGCTGAAAGATTTCTAATTGTTCCTAAAATCCAGGCTGTGCCACCCTGGCTGAAAGATTTCTAATTGTTCCTAAAATCCAGGCTGTGCCACCCTGGCTGAAAGATTTCTAATTGTTCCTGAAATCCAGGCTGTGCCACCCTGGCTGAAAGATTTCTAATTGTTCCTAAAGTCCAGGCTGTGCCACCCTTGCTAAAAGATTTCCCTCTTTTCCTAAAGTCCAGAACTATTCCTAAAGTCCGGACTGTCCCTAAAGTCCAGACTGTGCCAGGTTTGCTGAAACATTTCCCTCTTTTCCTAAAGTCCAGGCTGCGCCACCCTGGCTGAAAGATTGCCCTCTGTGCCTAAAATCCAGGCTGTGCCACCCTTGTTAAAAGATTTCCCTCTTTTCCTAAAGTCCAGACTGTCCCTAAAGTCCAGACTGTGCCAGGTTTGCTGAAACAGTTCCCTCTTTTCTTCAAGTCCAGGCTGTGCCACCCTGGCTGAAAGATTGTCCCAGTGCAGGTGCAGGATTTGGGATGCCAGGGGAAGGATTTGGTGTGCCAGAGTAGGATTTGGGATGCCAGGTGCAGGATTTGGGATGCCAGAGGAAGGTTTTGGAGTTCCAGGTGCAGATTTTGGAGTTCCAGGGCAGGATTTGGGATGCCAGGGGCAGGGTTTGTGCTACCAGGTGCAGGATTTGGAGTTCCAGAAGCAGAATTTGGAGTGCCAGGGGAAGGATTTGGGATGCCAGGGGAAGTTTTTGGAGTACCAGATGCAGGATTAGAAGTTCCAGGGGCAGGATTTGGGATGCCAGGTGCAAGATTTGGGATCCCAGGTGCAGGATTTGGGATGCCAAGGCAGGATTTGGGATGCTAGGGGAAGGTTTTGGGATCCCAGGTGCAGGATTTGGGATGCCAGAGGAAGGTTTTGGAGTGTCAGGGCAGGATTTGGGATCCCAGGTGCAAGATTTGGGATCCCAGGACAGGATTTGGAGTTCCAGGTGCATGATTTGGCATGCCAGGATGGGATTTGGGATGCCAGTGCAGGATTTGGAGTTCCAGGGCAGGATTTGGGATCCCAGGGCAGGATTTGGAGTTTCAGGGTAGGATTTGTGCTACCAGGTGCAGGATTTGGAGTACCAGGTGCAGGATTTGGGACGCCAGTGCAGCATTTCCCTGAGGAAAGAATTCCACAACCCCCATCAGCAGCTCCCAGACCCCATCGCCTGCCTGCATGTCACACCTCGCGGTGGCGCTGCCACCTCAGATTTGTGGGTTTTTTGTCCCCTCCTCCTGCAGGAATCCCCCAGAAGCCGCAGATCTTCGGCCACGAGCAGCCCATCGATGAGGAGAAGGTGGCGCGGCTCATCTGCCGCTCGTCCGGCAGCAAACCCGCGGCGCAGCTGCGCTGGAGGAAGGGCAACAGGGACATCAAGGGTGGGTGGCACCGTCCGGGAGTGGGGACAGCTTGGGGACAGCTTGGGGACACCGCGGGGGGGGACAGGGGGCTGTTGGGAATGGAGGGTGGGGCTGGTTTCAGTGTGGGGGTGATTTGGGGAATGGCGCTGCTGGAGGTTGGGGGTGTTTGGTTATAGAGGGATGGGAGTCAGGAGGTAATATGTAATTATATTATTATATATATAATATATAAAATATATTTTAATATATGTATGATGAAATATATAATATTATATATAACATATAAAAAATATATATTTTAGGAGGTAATATATAATTATAGGAGGTAATGTGTAATTATATTATATATAATATATAAAATTAATGTATGTAAAATGAAATATATAATATATAAAAATGTAATATATGTATTTTAGATATATTATATATAATATATACTATCACTATATAATATATAGTGATATATATTATATAGTGATTATATTGATTAAATAATATATAGTAATATATTATTATATGTAAAATATATAAATAATTATATATGTTATATATAATGCCATATAAAATCATAAAGTATAAATATATAATATACTTACATGTTATATTATGTTATATTGATTATATAATGTATAATAATATATATAATAGTTATATCATCTACAATATAATTGCATATTATATTATATTATTGTATATTATATTATATTATATTATTGTATATTATTGTATAGTATAGTATAGTATATTATGTTATAGTATAGTATAGTGTATTTTCATATATAATAATACATAGTCTGTAATATCTAATTTATAACTTTCAAATTTAATACAACTTTCTAAACTAATCTATGTTTATGATTTTTCTGCTTAATGCCTGTGTATTGTATTTTTACAATTATAATAATACAATTATAATAATTGTGTTTTTACAATTATATACAGTTACAATACAGTTATAATACAATTATAATATGGTTATCACAGTTTTAATACAATTATAATACAGTTATAATGCACTATATTATAATACATAATTAATATGTAAATATAATATAGTTATAATACACTTGGTTATAATGCAATTATTATATGGTTGTACTACAGTTTTAATAGAATTATAACACAGTTATAATGCACTATATTATAACACATAATTATTATGTAATGTATAATATAGTTATAATACACTTGGTTATAATACAATTATAATGCAGTTATAATACAGTTATAATTCAATTATAATACAATTATAGTACAGTTATAATGCACTATATTATAGTACATAATTAATATGTAATATATAATATAGTTATAATACACTTGGTTATAATACAATTACAATGCAGTTATAATTCAGTTATAATACAATTATAGTACAGTTATAACACAGTTATAATTTAATTATAATACAACCACCATAACATTTTTCCAACATTTACATCCATCCAACCTTCTCCTGCAGCTGCAGCTCCAACCCTTGAGTGGAAATTTCCATTTTTCCCCTTGCCCCAGGCAGGGCTGTCCCCTGCCCAGTGTGCCATCTGTCACTGTCCCCTGTCCCCACAGACTCGGGCACCGAGGTGGTGGAGGACCCCAACGGCAAGACCTTCACGGTGACCAGCAGGGTGGAGTTCCGTGTCACCAAGGAGGACAACGAGGTCGAGGTCACCTGCACCGTGGACCACGAGTCCCTGCAGAACTCAGAGAGGTCCACCACGCAGAAGCTGCAGGTCCACTGTACGTGGGGGGACCTTTGGGGTGGGGTGGAGCTTCAGGGGACACCACACAGGTGGCCTGGTGGGCTCAGGGACACGGGGACATCGTGGTCCTGTCACACGTGGGGCATGGTGACACTTCCCGTGCATGGTGACACTTCCCGTGCGTGGTGACATGCACAGCCTCAGCTTCCCACCTCTGTCCCCAAATCCTGCTTGTCCCCAGATTCTGCTTGTCCCCATCTCCCAGGGATTTGTCCTTTCTTCACTTCCCTCAACCCTGTCCCCAAATCCTGCTTGTCCCCATCTCAGAGTTTTGTCCCTTCTCCACTTCCCACCCCTGTCCCCAAATCCTTCTTGTCCCCAAATCCTGTTTGTCCCCATCTCCCAGAGGTTTGTCCCTGCTCCTTTTCCCTCAATCCTGTCCCCAAATTCTGCTTGTCCCCATCTCCCAGGGATTTGTCCCTGCTCCACTTTCCAACCCTGTCCCCAAATCCTGCTTGTCCCCATCTCTGAGTTTTGTCCCTTCTCCACTTCCCACCTCTGTCCCCAAATTCTGCTTGTCCCCAAATTCTGCTTGCCCTCATCTCCCAGAGGTTTGTCCCTGCTCCTTTTCCCTCAGTCCTGTCCCCAAATCCTTCTTGTCCCCAAATCTTGCTTGTCCCCATCTCCCAGGGATTTGTCCCAGCTCCACTTCCCACCTCTGTCCCCAAATCCTGCTTGTCCCCAAATTCTGCTTGCCCTCATCTCCCAGAGGTTTGTCCCTGCTCCTTTTCCCTCAATCCTGTCCCCAAATTCTGCTTGTCCCCATCTCCCAGGGATTTGTCCCTTCTCCACTTCCCTCACCCTGTCCCTGTTCCCTGTGCTGGTGATGGGGTGGGGGACATGGGAGCACCCCCTGAGTGCTGTCCCCACCCCTGGGTGTTGTCACCCCTCAGCCCTGCACACCCAGAATTGGCCCAGGGGTGGGATTTGGGGTGCCAGGAGCTGGATTTGTGTTTCCAGGTGCAGGATTTGGGCTTCCAGGTGGAGGATTTGGGATCCCTGGAGCAGGATTTGGGTTTCCAGGTGCAAGATTTGGGGTTCCAGGGCAGGATTTGGGATGGCAGGTGTAGGATTTGGGGTACCAGGAGCAGGATTTGGGTTTCCAGGTGCAAGATTTGGGGTTCCAGGGCAGAATTTGGGATGGCAGGTGTAGGATTTGGGGTACCAGGAGCAGAATTTGGGTTTCCAGGTGCAAGATTTGGGGTGCCAGGGCAGGATTTGGGATGGCAGGTGCAGGATTTGGAGTGCCAGGAGCAGGATTTGGCATTCCAATCAGGATTTGGGGTGGCAGGGCAGGATTTGTGGTGCCAGGGGAAGGTTTTGAGGTTCCAGGAGCAGGATTTGGGGTGCCAGGGGAGGATTTGTGTTTCCAGGTGCAGGATTTGGGCTTCCAAGTGGAGGATTTGGGATCCAGGTGTAGGATTTGGGTTTCCAGGTGCAAGGTTTGAGGTTCCAGGGCAGAATTTGGGATGGCAGGTGCAGGATTTGGGGTACCAGGAGCAGAATTTGGGGTGCCAGGCCAGGATTTGGGATCCAGGGGAAGGTTTTGGGATACCAGGTGCAGGATTTGGGGTACCCGGGCAGAGTTTGGGATGCCAGGTGTAGGATTTGGGGTTCCAGGTGCAGGATTTGGGGTACCAGGGCAGGATTTCAGATCCCAGGAGCAGGATTTGGGGTTTCAGGTCAGGATTTGGGGTTCCAGGAGCAGGATTTGGGGTTCCATGCCAGGATTTTGGATCCCAGGAGCAGGATTTGGGTTCCAGGTGCAGGATTTGGGCTTCCAAGTGGAGGATTTGGGATGTCAGGTGCAGGATTCGGGGTTCCAGGCCAGGATTTTGGATCCCAGGAGCAGGATTTGGCATTCCAGGCCAGGATTTGGGGTTCCAGTCCCTCACCCCAGTGTTTCTCTCCCCCTTTTCCAGACAAACCCACGGCGAAGATCGAGCCTCACCCTCAGTACCCACGGGAGGGGGAGAAGCTGCAGCTGCAATGTGACGGGCAGGGCAACCCCATGTAAGGCCTTCCTCCCCTCCCTCCTCCTCCTCAGGGCCTCCCCTGCCTCTGCCAGGTCCCACGTCCCAAACCAGGAGGGGCTGGCTGCGTTTGGGGTGTCCCTGTCCCTGTCCTGGGGGTTCCATGAGAGCCCCCCTGTCCTCTCCTGGAGCAGCAGATCCATCCTAAATTAAACATTTCCCCCTTTGTGTCCTGGGACATCCTCAAGGAGCTGGATCTGGGTGGATTTAAAAGGAATAAAGTGAATTTTTGTTGAAATGCCATCAAAAGCCACACCCTGGCAGTGCCCAGATGGCTCCAAGATGGAAGCAAAAGGGGGCTTGGTCATGAGATCTCACATTTTAATTAGTTTTAGTCCAGTTTATAAGTTTTTGTCTGGTTTATAAGTTTTAGTCTAGTTTGTAAGTTTTAGTCTAGTTTATAATTTTTAGTCCAGTTTATAAGTTTTATTTTCATTTATTTGCATGTAGGAGTTAATTGTCCAATTAATAGCTTCAAATGATGAAGTTTCATCCTCCTTGTGTGCTTCTTTTCACGTTGTTTATGATTTGGGCCTGAAGTTTGAAGAGATTGGCCTTGGGTCTCCAGCTAGAATAGGATTGTTTGGTGAAAAGATCCCAGTGACATTAATACAAAGCTGAACTGAAAAACCCCAAGCAATCAGTTTATCCCATCCCTTTCCTATAGGATTTTATCTTCCTCACCCTATGAAAAGATCCCAATAACATTAATATAAAGCTAAACAGAAGAACACAACGGAAAACCCCAAGATACCAGAACAGAAATACCCCAAGGATTCAGTTTATCCCCATCTCATTCCTATAGGATTTTACCTTCCCCACCCTATTAAAAAATCCCAATAACATTAATATTAAACTGAACAGAAATCCTCTAAGGAATCAGTTTATCCCATCCCATTCCTATAGGATTTTACTTTCCCCACCCTATAAAAGATCCCAGTACCGTTAATATAAAACTAAACAGAAAAACCCCAATGTATCAGTTTCTTCTCATCCCATTCCTTTAGGATTTTGTCTTCCCCACTCTGTGAAAAGATCCCAGTGCCATTAATATAAAACTAAACAGAAAAACACAACAGAAAAACCCCAAGGTATCAGTACAGAAAAAACCCCAAGGAATCAGTTTATGCCCATACCATTCCTATAGGATTTTGTCTTCCCCACCCTATAAAAACATCCCAATAACATTAATATAAAAATAAACAGAAAAACCCCAAGGAATCAGTTTATCCCATCCCTTTCTTATAGGATTTTATTTTCCCTACCCTGTAAAAAGATCCCAATAACATTAATATTAAACTGAACAGAAATCCTCTAAGGAATCAGTTTGTGCCCATCCTGTTCCTATAGGATTTTACTTTCCCCACCCTATAAAAGATCCCAGTACCATTAATATAAAACTAAACAGAAGAACACAACAGAAAACCCCAAGGAATCAGAACAGAAAAACCCCAAGGTGTGAGTTGACCCCATCCCATTCCTATAGGATTTTTTCTTCCCACCCTGTGAAAAATCCTAGTAACGTTAATATAAAACTAAACAGAAGAAATACCCCAAGGAATCAGTTTACCCCATCCCATTCCTGTAGGATTTTTTCTTCCTCACCCTATAAAAAGATCCCAATAACATTAATATAAAGCTAAACAGAAAAACACAACAGAAAACCCCAAGGAATCAGAACAGAAAAACCCCAAGGAATCAGTTTATCCCCATCCCATTCCTTTAGGATTTTATCCTCCCCACCCTATAAAAAGATCCCAATAATATTAATATAAAAATAAACAGAAAAACCCCAAGGAATCAGTTTATCCCATCCCATTCCTATAGGATTTTATCATCCCCACCCTAGAAAAGATCCCAGTAACATTAATATAAAACTAAACAGAAAAATAGAACAGAAAAACTTAACATAAAAACCCCAAGGAATCAGAACAGAAAAACCCCAAGTTATCAGCTGACCCCATCCCATTCCTATAGGATTTAATCCTCCTCACCCTATAAAAAGATCCCAGTGACATTAATATAAAGCTGAACAGATAAACCCCAAGGAATCAGTTTATCCCCATCCCGTTCCTATAGGATTTTTTCTTCCCCACCTTGTGAAAAGATCCCAGTACCATTAATATAAAACTAAACAGAAAAACACAACAGAAAAACCACAAGGAATCAGTTTATGCCTATCCCGTTCCTGTAGGATTTTATGTTCCCCACCTTGTGCAAAATCCTAGTAACATTAATATAAAGCTGAACAGAAAACCCCCAAGGAATCAGTTTATCCCCATCCCGTTCCTATAGGATTTTTTCTTCCCCACCTTGTGAAAAGATCCCAGTACCATTAATATAAAACTAAACAGAAAAACACAACAGAAAAACCCCAAGGAATCAGTTTATCCCATCCCATTCCTATAGGATTTTATCCTCCCCACCCTATAAAAGATCCCAGTACCATTAATATAAAACTAAACAGAAAAACACAACAGAAAAACCCCAAGGAATCAGTTTATCCCATCCCGTTCCTATAGGATTTTATCCTCCCCACCCTATAAAAGATCCCAGTACCATTAATATAAAACTAAACAGAAAAACACAACAGAAAAACCCCAAGGAATCAGTTTATCCCATCCCATTCCTATAGGATTTTATCATCCCCACCCTATAAAAGATCCCAGTAACATTAATATAAAACTAAACAGAAAAATAGAACAGAAAAACTTAACATAAAAACCCCAAGGAATCAGAACAGAAAAACCCCAAGGAATCAGCTGACCCCATCCCACTCCTATAGGATTTAATCCTCCCCACCCCATAAAAGACCCCACTAACCCCAGGCTGCCCAGGAAGGCAGGACCTGGGTTCCCAAGGCCCGGTTCTGTCCCAGCCCGCAGGAATTCCTCTGGGAGAAGGAGGGCAGCGACGCCCCCCTGCAGCTGAGCTCCGACAGCGTCCTCATCTTCCCCTTCCTCAACAAGAGTGACAGTGGCACCTACGTGTGCACGGCCACCAGCTCCATGGGCAGCGTGGTGGCCAAGTACAACCTGGACGTCAGCGGTGAGTGTGGCCCTGGTGGCACCGGGGCGCCGCCCCCTGGGGGCCCAGAGTGTGGCACTGTGTCACCCATGTGCCCAAAATGTGGCACTGTGTCACCCGTGTGCCTAAAATGTGGCACTGTGTCACCTGTGTGCCCAAAAAGTGTCACTGTGTCACCTGTGCAACCTGTGTGCCCAAAATGTGGCACTGTGTCACCTGTGTGCCCAAAAGGTGGCACTGTGTCATCCCTGTCACCTGTGGGTGAGGGCACTGCCCCCTGGGGGCCCAGAATGTGGCACTGTGTCACCCGTGTGCCCAAAAGGTGGCACTGTGCATCCTGTGTGCCCAAAAGGTGGCACTGTGTCACCTGTGTGCCCAAAAAGTGTCACTGTGTCACCTGTGGGTGAGGGCACTGCCCCAAATGTGGCACTGTGTCACCTGTGCATCCTGTGTGCCCAAAATGTGGCACTGTGTCACCTGTGTGCCCAAAAGGTGGCACTGTGTCACCTGTGCATCCTGTGTGCCCACAAAGTGTCACCGTGTCACCTGTGGGTGAGGGCACTGCATCCTGTGTGCCCAAAATGTGTCATTATGTCACCTGTGTGCCCAAAATATGTCATCGTGTCACGTGTCCTCGGGTGGGAAGAGGCAGCTCCTGATGCTCCCCACGTGGTGCTGTCCCCTGACTGTGCTCTGTGTGTCCCCATGCCATGTGTCACATAAGGGACAGGGTTCTGTGTGTCCCCATGTCCCCATGCCATGTGTCACACATGGAGCAGGGCTCTCTTTGTGTCCCCATGGATTGGTTCAGGGCCGTGTGTGTCCCCATGTCCCCATGCTGTGTGTCACACGTGGTTCAGGGCTGTGTGTGCTGTGTGCTGCTGCCACCCCAGCTCCCTGTGCCCATCCCAGCTTCCTGTGCCCACCCCAGCCCGTGCCCACCCCAGCTCCCCGTGCCCATCCCACCTCCCCATGCCCATCCCAGCTCCCCATGCCCATCCCAGCTCCCCGTGCCCATCCCACCTCCCCATGCCCATCCCAGCTCCCCATGCCCATCCCAGCTCCCTGTGCCCACCCCAGCTCCCCATGCCCATCCCAGCTCCCCGTGCCCACCCCAGCTCCCTGTGCCCATCCCAGCTTCCTGTGCCCATCCCAGCTCCCTGTGCCCATCCCAGCTCCCCGTGCCCATCCCAGCTCCCTGTGCCCATCCCGGCTTCCTGTGCCCATCCCAGCTCCCTGTGCCCACCCCAGCTCCCCGTGCCCACCCCAGCCCATGCCCACCCCAGCTCCCCATGCCCACCCCAGCTCCCCGTGCCCACCCCAGCCCGTGCCCACCCCAGCTCCCCATGCCCATCCCAGCTTCCTGTGCCCATCCCAGCTCCCCATGCCCATCCCAGCCCATGCCCATCCCAGCTCCCCGTGCCCGCCCCAGCCCGTGCCCACCCCCCATGATCCCATTTCCTGCCATTTTCCCTTGGATTTGGGAAATCCAAAGGTTCCTGCTCTCCTCCCTTGCTCCAGCTCTTCCCTTTCCTGCCTCCTTCCCCTGCAGTGTGGTGGCACCTCACTGGTGGCACTTTGTCCCCTGTGTCCCCTCCCTCAGCCTGCCCAGAAGGAGCCCCCAAATGCCCAACCCTGTGCAGCCACTCCTGTGTCACCCTTGTGTGTCCCCTGTGTGAGCACCCAGAGCTCTCTGCACCCATCCAGGAGCTCAGCCCGGGTGCCTGGTGCTGTCCTTGAGAGGTGGCACCCGCTGTCCCTTGAGAGGTGGCACTGCTGTCCTTGAGAGATGGCACCCGCTGTCCCTTAAGAGGTGGCACCCGCTGTCCCTTGAGAGGTGGCACTGCTGTCCCTTGAGAGGTGGCACCCGCTGTCCCTTGAGAGGTGGCACCTGCTATCCCTTGAGAGGTGGCACTGCTGTCCCTTGAGAGGTGGCACCCGCTGTCCCTTGAGAGGTGGCACTGCTGTCCCTTGAGAGGTGGCACCTGCTATCCCTTGAGAGGTGGCACTGCTGTCCTTGAGAGATGGCACCCGCTGTCCCTTGAGAGGTGGCACCCGCTGTCCTTGAGAGATGGCACCCGCTGTCCTTGAGAGGTGGTACCCGCTGTCCCTTGAGAGGTGGCACCCGCTGTCCCTTGAGAGGTGGCACTGCTGTCCCTTGAGAGGTGGCACCTGCTATCCCTTGAGAGGTGGCATCTGCTGTCCCTTGAGAGGTGGCACTGCTGTCCCTTGCCCACCTGGTGGCACTGCCCCTGTCACAGCAGACACAGAGTTCCACATCCAGCCTTGGTGGAATTGTCACTTTTGTCCCTAAAGCCACTCGTGGCTCAGGCACTGGAGCCACCTCCAGTCTTGCCCACCTTGGTGCCACCTCTGCCCAGCACCCTATGCTCCCCAAAGACATGGCACAGGTGACACCTCATCGTGGGTGACACCACGAGAGTCCCTCAGGAGGTAACCAGGACAGGAGATGGTGGAAGATGGCCACAGTGTCCCAAAGGTTGGTGGCAGCAGCAGAGGGGTCACAGATGGACCCGCTCAGGGTCCCCTCAGGGCTCTGTCACCTCGCTGTCCCTTCGTGGCATTGATTCCTGTCCTGTGTTTTTGTTGTCCTCCCCAGATGTTCCCCAGCTCCCCACCCCACACGTTCACTCCACCCTGGGCCCTTCCCAGCCCATCTCTCATGCTTCCATGGCCTCGGCTCCATCCTTCACTCCAGCTCCCATCCAAGGTACCGTAAGCTCCTTTTCTGTCTCTTTGGCCTGGAGAAGCTCCACAGGAGGACGGTGGCCCTGCCCTGCCCTGGCCTGGGGACAGCCCTGCCAGGCGGCTCCAGTCCCTCAGGTTTTCCAGGAGGAGCCCCAAGCTGTCCCTCATCCTGTGTGTCCGTGTGCCGTGCTGTCCCTCTGTCCTGCTGCCACCCCTGTGTGTCCCCCCGCCTTGTCCTTCCCAAATGTGGCTCTGTCCCCACCCTGAGCCGACGGGGCACGGCTGGCAGGAGGATTTGTCACCGTGCCACAGGGCTGGCACAGGGTGACAGCACGGGATGGAATCTTTCCACTGGATTCCACATCCAGGACAGGATTCAGGGCCACCTTTGGGGTCCTGCCATCACCTCTTGGGTGGCCATGCCAGCCTGCATGTCCCCTCCCACCCAAACCTGCTCACCCTCCCTTTTTGGGGCCACAACCCCATTGTGGAGGATGAGATTTCCATTTTGCTTTTTGATTTTTTTTATTTCTTTTGATGGAAGATTAAGATTTCCCCTTTGCTCCCCCCGTTCTCACTGCGCCAGGACCCTCAGCAGGATGGAGCTCCTGGTGGGGAGGAGCAGCATCTTCTGCTGCCCTGCAGGGTCTCAGGGTCTCCTTTTTGTCTCTTTTTTCCCTCCCCCTGCCTGGGCAGATGCCAGCCCGGTGCCCTCGACCTCCAGCACGTACCACGCGATGATCGGCGGCGTGGTGGCCGTCATCGTCTTCCTCCTGCTCAGCCTCCTCATCGTGCTGGGACATTACCTGATCAGGCACAAAGGTACGGCCTGGGGGGCTGCAGGGGGGGCTGGAGGAGCCCTCGGGGGTCTCGGGGCAATGGGGGGGAAGGGAGGCAGCTCCTGGTCCTGCCCAGCGTGGGAATGTCCCAGGGAATGCAGGGGGAGGCAGCTCCCATCCCATGGATCCCATTGATCCTGTCCTATGGATCCCTCCCATCCCATTTATCCCATCTCATGAATCCCATGGATCCTATCCCATCCCATTGATCCTGTCCTATGGACCCCATCTTATGGATCCCATCCCATCCCATTGATCCCATCCCATGGATCCCATCTTATGGATCCCATCCCATTGATCCCATCCCATGGATCCCATCTTATGGATCCCATCCCATCCCATTGATCCCATGCCATGAATCCCATGGATCCCATCCCATTGATCCCATCCCATGGATCCCATCTTATGGATCCCATCCCATCCCATTGATCCCATCCCATGGATCCCATCTTATGGATCCCATCCCATTGATCCCATCCCATGGATCCCATCTTATGGATCCCATCCCATCCCATTGATCCCATGCCATGAATCCCATGGATCCCATCCCATTGATCCCATCCCATTGATCCCATCTTATGGATCCCATCCCATCCCATTGATCCCATCCCATTGATCCCATCCCATCTTATGGATCCCATCCCATCCCATCCCATTGATTCCATCCCATCCCATGGATCCCATTGATCCTGTCCTATGGATCCCATCTTATGGATCCCATCCCATTGATCCCATCCCATCCCATTGATCCCATCCCATGAATCCCATGAATCCCATCCCATCCCATCAATCCCATTGATCCCATCCCATGGATCCCGTCCCATCCCATTGATCCCATTGATCCCATCCTATCCTGTTGCCCCCATCCCATCCCATTGATCCCATCCCATCCCATCCCATCCCATGGATCCCATTGATCCCATCCTATCCCGTTGCCCCCATCCCATCCCGTCCCATTGCTCCCATCCCATCAATCCCATCCCACTGATCCCATCCCATCCCATCAATCCCATCCCACTGATCCCATCCCATCCCATTGATCCCATCCCACTGATCCCATCCCATCCCATTGATCCCATCCCATCCCACTGATCCCATCCCATCCCATGGATCCCATCCCACTGATCCCATCCCACCCCGGTGCCTTTCCCATTGCATCCAACCCCAGCAGACCCTCCAGTCCCTCTGGCTCTGTGGGAGGGGTCTCTGTCAGAGCCCCCCGTGACCCCAACCCCTGTCCCCCCCTTTCCAGGGACGTACCTGACCCACGAGGCCAAAGGCTCGGACGACGCTCCGGACGCCGACACCCGCCATCATCAACGCCGAGGGCGGCCAGGCCGGCGGCGACGACAAGAAGGAATATTTCATCTAAAAGGGTCAGAGAGAGAGGAGAGAGAGAGAGAGAGAGAAAGAGAGAAAAATGGAGCCAAGAGAACCCCGATGGCAACGGCAACCAGACCACAAACCCCACAAAACCCAACAGATTTTCTCTGGCGCCCGGCGCGGGCAGACGGACGGACGGACAGAGGGATGGCGGGACAGAGAGCAGGGAGAGCCACCGGCCTCGAGGCGCTGCTGACGCTTCTTGAACTTGTACAAATCCTTCACTCCAACAGCGAGAGCCCCGGCCCCGTTTGCTTGCTTGCACCTCCATCCCCATGCCCCGAACCCCACAGACCCAAAACCCGTGAGTGAGCGACTCCTTCCTTCCTTCCTTCTTCCTTTTTGGACCTTTTTTCATTTTTTGGCTTTGGTTTCGTGGCTGCTCTTTGCTTCGGGCCCTTGGTTGGGGTGTTGGGCTGGGGTCGATGTAGCTCTTCCCTTTGTTTCTCTCCCTTTTTTTGGTTTCTTTGATGTCCAAGGATAAAATCCCAGCTCCGGGGGGGGGTGTTCCCGGGGTGAGGTTGGCATCCTGGGTGTCCCCGTTGTCCCCTCCCCGTGGTCGGGGGGTGACTCCAGGTGGGAGCGGAGCGAGCCCCCGCCCCGGTTTTGTCCTTGGTGGTTCTTGTGGAGCAGTGTCCATGCGGGAGCAGAGCTGTCCTCGTGCAGTCAGTGTGTGAAAGGGGGTGCAAGGCCAGGGTGGGACCCCCAGAGACACCAGGAGCCCCCAGAGCTCCCCGGTCCCACCCCAGCGGGAGGGGGGAGGGCTCAGGTTTATTTTGGGGGGGTAGGGGGGCAAATCTAGAAGAAAAGCCCCTGATTTTTTAAAAAAATTTATTTAATTTTTACTTAAATTCTCTGATTGGAAATGCCAATTTGAACCATCTATTGAGATGTTCAGTGCAGGAAGCAGCGCCCCTGGGGCTGGGGCTGCTTCCCTGGGACCCCCAGAGCAGAGCTGGGGTCTCTCTGCCCCCCATTTCCCTCCCCAGCCCCTTGCCAGGGCAGGGATGAGCTTGGAAAGGGCTGATTTTCTTCTTGGCTCTGAGAATCCCAACCAGAACACCTGGATTTGGGGTCTGGGGAGTTTGGGGTCACCACAGAGGCTCTGGGAGGGGGGTTCACCCTTCCTCCTTGCTCTTCCTCCTGCCTCTTTCACCTTCACTTCCAAGACAAAACCAAACTCCTTTCCCCACCTCTCCAGCTCAGCCCCCCCAAACTGGGCACCCCCACGATGGGGCTGCACCCCCCTGGCATCCTTGGGGCACCGCCAGCCTTGGCATGAGGTGTTGTGGAATCCCACGTGCCAGTCTGGGCACAAGGGGGTGGCAGGAGAAGCCCTTGGGCCTGGAACCCCGTGGATTTGGGGTCTTCTGGAGGAGAGGAACCTCCAGAGGGGTTCCTCAGCTGGGAGGTCTCCCCGTGGATTTTGGGAGGTGTAGCCTCACCTTGGGAGGTCACCCCAACGATTTGGGGTCGCCTGGAGGAGAAGGAACCCTTAAAGAAAGGGGTAACCTCAGCTGGGAGGTCTCCTTGTGGATTTGGGGCCATCTGGAGGGTGAGGAACCCTTGGAGAAGTGGTAACTTCACCTGGGAGGTCACCCCATGGATTTGGGGTTGTCTGGAGGAGAAGGAACCCTTTGGGATGGGTGTAACCCCATCTGGGAGGTCACCCCATGGATTTGAGGTCCTATGGAGGAGAAGGAACCTTTTGGGAAATGGGTAACCTCACCTGGGAGGTCACCTCAAGGATTTTAGGAGGTGTAACAGCACCTGGGAGGTCTCTCCATGGATTTGGGGTCATCTGGAGGATGAGGAGACCCTTGGAGAGGTGGCAACCTTACCTGGGAAGTCACGCCATGGATTTTGGGATGGGTAACTTCACCTGGGAAGTCACCTCGTGGATTTGGGGTCATCTGGAGGAGAAGGAACCTTTTGGGAAATGGGTAACCTCACCTTGGGAGGTCACCCCATGGATTTGGGGCCATCTGGAGGATGAGGGAACCCTTGGAGAGGGGGCAACCTCACCTGGGAGGGTCACCCCATGGATTTGGGGTTGTCTGGAGGAGAAGGAACACTTTGGGAAATGGGAAACCTTAGCTGGGAGATCACCTCATGGATTTTAGGAGGTTTAGCATCACCTGGGAGGTCACCTCATGGATTTGGGGTCATCTGGAGAAGAGGAACCCTTAAAGAAATGGGTAGCCTCAGCTTGGGAGGTCTCCTTGTGGATTTGGGGTCATCTGGAGGATGAGGAACCCTTGGAGAAGTGGTGACCTCACCTGGGAGGTCACCCCATGGATTTTGGGATGGGTAACCTCACCTTGGGAAGTCACCCCATGGATTTGGGGTCATCTGGACAAGAGGAACCCTTTGGGAAATGTGTGACCTCGCCTTGGGAGCTGCAGGAAGAATTTCACCACCTCTTCCACGGGGCTGGAAGTGTCACCCCCCACCAAACCCTGCCACCACCTGTGCCACCTGTGCCACCTTTGGGGACACCAATGGGGCTCAGGTGAGGCAGAGGAGGCCCAGCTCGGTGCCACACAGGGATGTGACACTGTGGGGACACTGCAGAGGTGACCACCATGGCTCAGCTGTGTCAGGAGCAGTGTTGGCGCTGGGAAGGAGCAGGACACGGAGTTTTTGAGGTGTTTTGGGTGGTTTTGAGGTGATTTTGGTGGTTTTCAGGTGGTTTTCAGGTAGTTTTGGGTGTTTCTGAGATGCTTTTGGTGGTTCGGAAGTGGTTTTGAGGTGGTTTTGGTTGTTTTGAGGTGGTTTTGACATGGTTTTGGTGGTTCTGGTGGGTCTGAGGTGGTTTTGGCGTTTCTGAGATGGTTTCGAGGTGATTTTGGTGGCTCTGAAGTGGCTTTGAGGTGGTTTTGGTGGTTTTGAGGTGGTTTTGATGGTTTTATGGTGGTTTTGGTTGTTTTGAGGTGGTTTTGGTCGTTTTGAGGTGGTTTTGCTGGTTTTGAGGTGGTTTTGGTCGTTTTGAGGTGGTTTTGCTGGTTTTGAGGTGGTTTTGCTGGTTTTTATGGTGGTTTCGGTGGTTTTGAATTGGTTTTGAGGTGGTTTTGGTCGTTTTGAGGTGGTTTTGCTGGTTTTGAGGTGGTTTCGGTGGTTTTGAGGTGTTTTTGAGGTGGTTTTGGTCGTTTTGAGGTGTTTTTTGAGGTGCCACCTGCCGTGGGGCGTGGCAGGGCAGCCCGGGGAGCGGGCAGGGACCTGTGGAGGTGTCACCTGGCCCAGGTGTCACCTGGAAGGAGCCGCTGAGGGTCAGAGATTCCATCCGAGGCCACTCCTGGCATCGGGAACCAAAGGGTTCGGCGGGGACGGGAGCAGCGGGGAGAAGATTTGTGTCACAGCCGGCGGTGACGGCGACACCAGCGCGGCCCTGGCGGGACAGGGAGGATTCCAGGCGGAAGCTGCTCCAGGGCCACACCACGGTGACACGAGGAGTGACAAAACGACCCTTTTGGGGTCACTTTGTGGACAAACACCCCAATGTCACACAGGGATGGACAGGGGAGGTGGCAGGGTCAGTGTGTCACCGTGTCCAGGCCACCACCCCGTCCTTGGGGGGGGGGGTCCCATTGGTGGCCCCACATCCACCCATTCATGGGGTATTCATGGGGCACGAGGAAGATTTGGGGACCCCCTCGGAGGCTTCCTGGCCGGCACTGAACTCTCAATAGACACGAAAGCCATATTTTGGGGGGCTCTGGAGAGGCCAGGGTGGGGGGCAGAGGCTGGGCTGTGTTGTTGTGCTGTGGTTTTTTTTTTTTTTCTGTCTGTACATAGAAAAAAAAAAAAAAAAAAAAAAAAAAAAAAAAGGGAGCCAACGACCGTCGATGTGACTTTATAACCTTTCTAATATCCTGTGCTAATCTCGGAAAATAATCCTATAAATATATCTGGATTACACACCTTACCTGCCTGTCTCTCTCTCTGTGTGTTTGGGGGGAGTTTGGGGGCGGTGGGAGGGGGTGACAGAGATCAGCCCCCCTAAAAACTCCTCTGAGCCCCCAGACCCACCCTGATCCTGATCCTGACCCTCAGCAGCTCCCCACAAAGTGCAGCAGCCCCAATCCCAATCCCTGGGATTTTCACCCCCAAATCTGCCCCTCAATTCCCCCCTAAATTGTCAATTCCCAAATTCCTCCTCAGCCCCCCCCCAAAATTCTCAATTCCCAGACTCCTCCTCAGCCATTTCACCCTCCAAATCTGCCCCTCAATTTCCCCCAAATTCCCATTTCCCAAATTCCTCCTCACCCCCCCCTAAATTGCCAATTCCCAAATTCCTCCTCAGCCCTTCCCCCCCCAAATCTACCCCTCAATTCCCCCAAATTCCCATTTTCCAATTTCCCCTCAGCCCCTCCAAATTCCCAATTCTCTGATTCTTTCTTAGCCCCCCCAAATTGCCAATTCCCAAATTCTTCCTCACCCCCCCCAAATTCTCAATTCCCAGACTCCTCCTCAGCCATTTCACCCCCAAAACTGCCCCTCAATCCCCCCCAAATTTCCATTTCCCAAATTCCTCGTCACCCTCCCCTAAATTGCCAGTTCCCAAATTCCTCCAGTCCCCCCCAAACTGCCAATTCCCAAATTCCTCATCAGCCCTTTCCCCCCAAATCTGCCCCTCAATCCCCCCCAAATTCCCAGCTCCCCCCTAAGAACAACAAACCCCCAATCCCTGGAGGCTCCCAGCCCTTTCACCCCCAAATCTGCCCCTCAGAGCCCCCCCAAATCCTGGCCCCCAACCCTCCCCAAACAGCACCGACCCCAATTCCCAACCCCAGGAGCTCCCCAAGCTTTTCACCCCTAAATCTGCTCCACGGTCACCCCCAAACTGTCACTTTCAACCCCAAATATCCTCCCAAATTACCACCAGGACCCCAATTCCCAACCCCGGAGCTCCCCAAGCCTTTCACCCATAAATTTGCTCCACAGTCACCCCCAAACTGTCACTTCCCAGCACTTTTACCCCCAAATACCTTCCCAAATTACCACCAGAACCCCAATTCCCAACCCCGGAGCTCTCCAAGCTTTTCACCCCTAAATCTGCTCCACAGTCACCCCCAAACTGTCACTTTCACCCCCAAATATCCTCCCAAATTACCACCAGAACCCCAATTCCCAACCCCTGAGCCCCTCAGCCCTATAGGGACATTGCTATAAAGATGTCCCTGAAGGCCACCAAGGCCACCAGCCTTGTCACCAAGCTGCTCCAATGGCACAGGATGACCCCCGGGAGCCCTTCCTTCCTCCTGAGGAAATTCCAGACTCCAGGAGAAGGGGGGGGGTTCCCCTCAATGCCCAAACCCCGAACCCCTCCCTGGAGCTGGCACACCCCGGAGCGTGTGGAAAGACAAATAATCCCTAATTAATTTCACTCGTCCTGCCAAGAACCGATGGTTTCCTGCTCGAGAAATTTCCCGGCAGCGCCGTTCCCCCCGTTTTCCGCCGGTTGCCAGGGGCGGGAGAGGGGCAGGGCCGGCCCTGGGGCACCTCTTATCTCCTGCCCGCAGCCCTCGGCTCCTTTTGGAGCGGAGGAGTCACCCCCGGGCACCTCCTCGGTGTGGCCACCCCGGTGCCACCACCCCCGGTGCCACCACCGCCGGTGCCACCCCCAGACTCGGAGCAGCATCATGGGCAACTGTGTCCCCGTGGTGAGTGACATCCCCCGCCCCAAATTCCTGTCCCTGGTGGTGGCACATCCCCCATGAGAGGAGGGCACGGGGGGGGGTCCTTGGTGTGGGGAGGAAAATGGGGGTCCCCCTGTGCTGAGGAGGGTGATGGGGAACTCCTCCAGTGGGGTTTGGGGGTGTTAATGGGGTTTTAGGGGGTCCCTGGGGACCCTAAGAGGGGTCACAGGGTTCCCTGGTGCTGAGCAGGATCATGGGGGGGTCCTCAGTGCCCAGTGGGGTTTGGGGGATTTTTGGGGTTTAGGAGTCCCCCAGAACTCAGTAGACATGTGAGGGTCCCCAGTTCTGAGTGGGATCATGAGGGGGTCCCCAGTTCTGAGCAGGAATCCCCAGTGCTCAGTGGGGTTTAGGGGATTTTAGGGGTTTAGGAGTCCCCAGAACTGAGTAGAGATGTGAGGGTCCCCAGTTCTGAGCAGGACCATGGGAATTCCCAGTGGGATTTAGGAGGATTTTAGGGGATCCCTGGTGCTGAGTGGGGTCACAGGAGTCCCAAATTCTGAGGAGGATCATGGGGGAGTCCCCAGTTCTGAGCAGGAATCCCCAGTGCTCAGTGGGGTTTGGGGGATTTTTGGGGTTTAGGAGTCCCCCAGAACTGAACAGAGCCCTGAGGGTCCCCCAGTTCTGAGCAGGATCATGGGAATTCCCAGTGGGATTTAGGGGGATTTTAGGGGATCCCTGGTGCTGAGTGGGGTCATAGGAGTCCCAAATTCTGAGAGGGATCATGGGAATCCCCCGTGCTTAGTGGGGTTTAGAGGATTTTAGGGGTTTGGGAGTCCCCTAGAACTGAATAGAGCCCTGAGGGTCCCCCAATGCTGAGGCGGGTCATGGGGATCTCCTCCACTGGGGTTTGGGGGTGTTGAGTGGGGTTCAGGGGATCCCTGGTGCTGAGTGGGGTCACAGGAGTCTCAAATTCTGAGGAGGATCATGGGAGGGGTCCCCAGTTCTGAGCAGGAATCCCCAGTGCTCAGTGGGGTTTGGGGGATTTTCGGGGTTTGGGAGTCAGACCCCTGAGGATCCCCAGTTCTGAGCAGGACCATGGGAATTCCCAGTGGGATTTAGGGGGATTTTAGGGGATCCCTGGTGCTGAGTGGGGTCACAGGAGTCCCCAGTTCTCACCAGGATCATGGGGCCTCTTTGGTGCTGAGCAGGAACCACGGGAATCCGCAGTAGGGTTTATGGGATTTTTGGGGTTTAGGAGTCCCCAGCACTGAACAGCGCCCTGAGGGTCCCCAATTCTGAGCAGGACCATGGGGGTCTGTGGTGCTGAGCAGGTCCACGGGAATCCCCAGTGCTCCCCAGTGGGGTTCAGGGGATTTTTGGGGTTTAGGAGTCCCCAGCACTGAGCAGCGCCCTGAGGGTCCCCAATTCTGGGCAGGACCATGGGGCTCCGTGTCCCCACAGGCTCTGTGTGCACCCCCCGGGCTCTGCATCCTCCCCGTGTCCCTCCTGGCAGAAAACGGCGCCATCCCGGCCCCACCCGCAGCCCGGCTGTCCCCGTGCGTGTCCCCGTGTGTCCCTCCCTGATAACCCGCCCTGCCCAGCCCTGCCCGCCATCCCCACGGCGCCACCAGGGCCATGTGCCACCCTCCCCATGCCCACCCACAGACCCCCGGCATCCTGGAGACCGCGGGCTCCCTGGACCTGGAGGAAATCATGGGCGACCTCTACGACGACGACACTTCCAGCAACGACACCCTCCTGGATTACGACGCCGCGCCATGCCACAACCACTTCTGTCCCCTCTTCCAGCGCGTTGCCCCCCCTTTCCTGGCCGCCACCAGCGTCGCGGCCGCGCTGGCCACCGGCGCCTTGCTGGTGGCCCTGGCCAAGCGTCCCCAAGCGTGGCGGTGGCCGCAGAGCCGGGCGCTGGTGGCGCAGCTGGCGCTGGGCACGGCGCTGTTCGCGGCGCTGCTGCCCGCGCTGGCGGCGGGCGCGGCGCGGGGTTGGCACCTTGGCACGGGGCTGTGCCGCCTCACGCACCTCCTGTGGCACTGGAGCGTCTTCGCCCAGGCGCTGCTGGTGGCCAGCGGCTCCTGCAGCACCGCCTGGGCTCGCTGGGACCCGCGGAGCCGCCGCTTGGCCGTGGCTCTGTGGGCATCGGCGCTGCTCTTGGCCGCTCCGGCCGCGCTGGTCAGCGGCGTGGCAGCGGGCACCGCGTGTGTCCGGCGCGCCGTGGGCATCCTGGCACCGCTGTACGTGCTGCACCTGGCGCTGTGCCTGTGCCTGCTGCTGCTGCTGCCCGCGGGGCTGCTGCTGGCCGCGCTGGCCGTGCCGCGCCTCAGGGGGAGCGGAGCCGGGCTCGCCTGGCTCTTCCCGGGGCTCTGGGCGCCCTACGGAGCGGGGCTGGCCGCGGAGTTCCTGCTGCAGGCCGGGCTGCTCCAGCCCACTTGCGGCTCCTTCGAGCGCTTCGACACGGCGCTGGGGCTGAGCGAGGCGCTGGGCGTGCTGCACTGCGGCCTCGGGCCCCTGGCGCTGCTGCTCGCACGGAGCTGCCGCCGCGGTGTGGGCGCTGCCGGGGGATAATGGGGAGATCCGGGGGTACGGAGCTCTGGGAATACGGAGCTCCAGGGGCTGCTGAGAGCCGGGGGATAATCGGGAGATCCGAGGGTACGGAGCACCGGGAACGCAGAGCTCCAGGACTGCCGAGCTCCAGGGGCTGCCGAGCTCTGGGATTGCCGAGCGCCGGGACTGCTGAGCTCCGGGGGCTGCTGATCTTCGGGGGATACGGAGCTCCGGGAATCCTGAGCTCCGGGGATTGCCGAGCTCCGGGAATCCTGAGCTCCGAAGCTGCCGAGCTCCCGGGAATGCCGAGGTCCAGGGGCTGCTGAGCTCCGGGAATGCCCAATTCGGGGATTGCTGAGCTCGGGACTGCTGAGCTCCGGAGGCTGCCGAGCTCCGGGGGTTACTGAGCTCCGAGGCTGCCGAGCTCCGGGAGTGCCGAGCTCCCGGGAATGCCGAGCTCCGGGAATGCTGAGCTCCGGGAATGCCGAGATCCGGGAATGCCGAGATCCGGGAATGCCGAGCTCCGGGATTGCTGAGCTCCCGGGAATGCCGAGCTCCGGGGAATACGGAGCTCCGGGAATGCCCAGATCCCGGGAATCATGAGCTCCGGGAATGCCGAGCTCCCGGGACTGCTGAGCTCCGAGGGCCTCTGAGCTCCGGGACTGCCAAGATCCGGGGGCTGCCCCACGGAACCAAACGGACCCACGGCACCGGACTGGACCCCCAGCACTGAGCCCCGGTCCCCCGGCGCCAGACTCGGACCCCTGGCACAAGCCTTGGAACCCTGGATCCTGGGCACCAACCTTGGCTACCCAGCACTGACCCCTGGCCAGCTGGCACAAGCCCTGGCACCCTGGCATCAGCCTCTGGCCCCACAGTGCCCCCACAGCGTCTGTCCCACACCCAACACTCCCCCAGCACCCCCCGGTCTGTGCCCCCTGCCCTCTGTCCCCTCCCTTGGGGTCTCTTTGGGGCCGGACCCCCCGATTGCTCAGCACAGAAAGCCTTGGGGTGCCTCAGGCTGCCCAGGGGGGTCACCCCAAACTCCAGAGGGGGGGGGGGGGGAATTTTGGAAGTGATGGGATTTTTTTCCATCTCTCCTGACAAGCCAAGAGGATGCAGCGCGAATTAAACACAACAAACACAACTGCCTGAGGCACTGCTCCAGCCCAGTTAATGCACTGGATGGGACTGGGAGGAGATGGGGGGGACGGGAAATGGGGGGTGTGGGCTCCTCGTGCCTCCAAATTGGCAGCAGAAGTTCCTGAGGAAGCTTGGAGCCTGCCAGGGGGGCAGTGGGGGCATTTATACCCAAAACCCACGAGGGCCAGCGCGTGCAGTCACGGGGGTGGCACGGGCACAGCAGAGGGGACAATGGGGCTGCTCTGCCCGAGCCAAGCCCTGCAGGAGCTGGGGGCTCATCCCTGCTAAACTAGGGGGCTGATCAGTGGGGAATGAGCCCACATCGTCCCCAAAATTGGGGATCCATCAAAACCCTGCAAGGACTCTACACCCCCAGACCGGCAACATCATTTGGGGCAGGCAAAACCTTCCCCATTCCCATCTGCCTGTCCCCTTGGGTCACCACGGTCACCCCAGGACACTCGGCCACCAGGGCTCCATCTCAGTCCCCTGGGGCAGGACAGACAGAGCAGAATTCAGGATGTGGCCCCGAGCTGTGGCTCAGGGCAGGGGGGACAGGGGAACCTTTCCTTGTACCCCTCAGACGACCCCAAATCAAACCACATCCCTCCAGTGGGGGTTTGCCACAGCAGGCACACCTGGGGAAGGAGTGTTGGGGTCATCACCCAGGTGGGCACATGGCTGGGGTGTCCTTGTCCCCCAGGGTTGGGGACACAAACCCAGAGCCCAGCCCCAAGGGGAGCCCCGTGCAGGCGGGTGACCCCAGATCTTGTGGCACGGCCGCGTGATGCCATGAAATCACCCATGCCAGGCATGAAATCGCCCACCCTGGGCATGAAATCGCCCCTCCCGGGCACGCCAGGCTGCTGAGGCTGGGATTGGGGACATCCCCCCGGCAGTCCCCTCCCCTCCTCGGCCACATAAACCCAACAGCAGCGCCGAGCCCGCCCGGCTCCAGCACCGACCATGGGCCTCCTGCAGCTCTGGCTGCCCGTCCTGGCTGTGCTCACAGGGATGGTGGCCCAGGAAGGTATGGGGGACACCAGGGTGGGGGACAGGAGCTGGATGGTGGCCCAGGAAGGTAGGGGGGACACCAGGGTGGGGGACAGGAGCTGGATGGTGGCCCAGGAAGGTAGAGGGGACACTGAGGTGGGGGACAGGAGCTGGATGGTGGCCCAGGAAGGTAGAGGGGACACTGAGGTGGGGGACAGGAGCTGGATGGTGGCCCAGGAAGGTAGAGGGGACACTGAGGTGGGGGACAGGAGCTGGATGGTGGCCCAGGAAGGTGGGGGAACACTGAGGTTGGGGACAGGAGCCAGCACAGGGCAGGTCCAGGGGGATGTGGCAGCAGCTCTCGGATCGCTCTCGGCCAGCAGGGCTGGAGGATGCTGGAGCAGGGGACAGCCAGAGAGGGCTGTGGGACACGCCAGCCTCCCAGCATGTCACCTCTGTTGTCCCCAGACCTGTACCGAAAGGTGTTCGTGTTCCGGAAGGATCCCAGCGACGCCTACGTGGTGCTGCAGGCGCAGCTGGAGCAGCCCCTGCGCAACTTCACCGTGTGCCTGCGCTCCTACACCGACCTCAGCCGCCCCCACAGCCTCTTCTCCTATGCCACCAAAGGCCAGGACAACGAGATCCTGCTCTTCAAGCCCAAACCCGAGGAGTACCGCTTCTACGTGGGGGGAAAGTTCGTCACCTTCCGCGTCCCCGAGGGCCGCAGGGAGTGGGAGCACGTCTGCGCCAGCTGGGAATCCTCCACGGGCATCGCCGAGTTCTGGCTCAACGGGAAGCCCTGGCCGAGGAAGGGGCTGCAGAGGGGCTACACGGTGGGGTCCACGGCTGCCATCCTGCTGGGACAGGAGCAGGACAGTTTTGGGGGTGGCTTTGACCTCTACAACTCCTTCTCGGGGGAGCTGACCGACGTTTACCTGTGGGACGCGGGGCTGTCGCCGGATAAGATGCGCGCGGCCTTCCTGTCCCTGCGCCTGCCGCCCGCGCTGCTGGCCTGGAACAGCCTCAGCTACGAAGTCAAGGGAGATGTGGTGGTGAAACCGCGGCTCCGGGAGGTGCTGGGGGCCTGAGGGATGTGGGTGGCCTCGGTCCCGCTGTCCCCTCCTCACCCTTTGCCACTCACACCCCAGCAGCCAGCACCCCGTCACCTCTACAAGCCAGCACGAGGAAGGTTGCCCAGATGAGGACAGGGTCACCCAAGGCACTCATTCCACACCCCACACCCCACAAGCTGCCCCATGGCCGTCCCTGCACGGGCAGGACACGGATCCAGCGGTTCCAGCGCTGCCCAGCCCCACGTGGAGTCAGGAAGGGGAAGGCTCCTCCCTTGGGGACAGGGGGACTGTCCCCAAAGCCAGTCCCCGCCACGCTCACACGCCATTTCCCAACAGTCCTGTGGCTTGGGGACGAAGGTCAGTGTCACCACCAGGCACTGTCACTCCTCGGAGCGGCTCTGGGTGGCTCTGAGGTCCCCCCTTTCCCACGGTGGTGACAGTGGCCAGGTTCGGCAGTGCCATGGGGCCGCTGTGGCTCTGCCTCCTCATCCTCACCGCGCTCTTCGGTCCCACGGCCCCACAAGGTAGTGGTGGGGGGCATGGGGACATGCAGGGGGGGTTGTGGGGGCAGTGGGGCACCCTGAGTGCTCCCAAAGGGTGCGGGGTGGGGGCAAAGGCGGCATGGGGGAACCCACAGGGGCACCCCGAGCTCTGCAAGGGAGGAACGTGCAGGGCACAGGGGGGCACGATGGCAAAAGGGCACCCTGAGGACAGAAATGGGGGGTGGCAGGGACTCGACACTCAACACCCTGTGCCACAGCTGGTGGTGGTGGCACCCACCCCGGGTGCTGGATGTCACCTCTGTCGATGTCACCTCCCGCAGACCTGGGCAGCTCGGTGTTTGTGTTCCCCCGAGAGTCCCAAAGCGCCCACGTGCAGGTGACAGCAATGCTGGAGAAGCCCCTGAACAACTTCACCGTGTGCCTCAAGTCCTACACCGACCTCAGCCGGCCCTACAGCCTCTTCTCCTACGCCACCAAACAACAGAGCAACGAGATCCTGCTCTTCAAGCCCAAACCTGGCCAGTACGACTTCAACGTGGGCAACCAGTTCTTGTCCTTCAGGGTGCCTGAAAACCTCGGGGAGGTCGAGCACGTCTGCGTCAGCTGGGAATCCTCCACGGGCATCGTGAGGTTCTGGTTCAACGGGAAGCCCTGGCCCAGGAAGGGGCTGCAGAAAGGATACACGGTGGGAGTGCCAGCATCCATCGTGCTGGGGCAGGACCAGGACAGCTTTGGGGGTGGTTTTGATGCCAAGCAGTCCTTTGTGGGGGAGATTTCATCCGTGTACATGTGGGACGTGGGGGTCTCCACCACGGAGGTGGTGTTGGCCCTGTATGACACACCTGGCCAAACCCCCCTTTTTGGCTGGAACAATTTCCCCCACAAGATCGTGGGAGAGGTGTACCTGAAGCCCTGAGGTTGTGGGGGGTGTCCCCAATCCCTGCTGTGTAACCCCCTCCCCAAAAGCCACCCAATATTGCATAAATGGAGAAATGTGTTTTTAGGGTTCTGGTGGTTTTTAGGGGTGGGGGAGTGGGTTGAGACCCCCCAAGGCAAAGCTCTGGGGGTGCAGTTCTGGAGCCCTTGGTGGGGATTCAGCCCCATGTCCCTGGGGAATTCACACCCAGAGCCCTGGGGGTGCAATTCTGGAGCCCTTGGGGGGTTCAGCCCCATGTCCCTGGGGGATTCAGACCCAGAGCCCTGTGGGGTGCAGTTCTGGAGCCCTTAGGGGGTTCAGCAATGGAGCTCCAGGGATCCAGCTCTGTATCCTGAGGATTCAGCCCTACAGCCCCATGTGCCACAGAGATCCAGAGGGTCCAACCTTGAGTCCCAAGGTGTTCAGTCCTGAAGCACCTGAGGGTCAGTCCCAGAGCTCCGGGGTGGCAATCCCGTGTCCTGGGGGGCTCAGTCCCTTGTCCTGGGGGATTCAGCCCCCCAGTCCTGCATACCCCCAGTCCTGCAGACCCCTGTCCCAGAGGACTGAGCCTCCTTTTCTGGGGGATTCAGCCCCCCATTCCTGCATCCCCTCCACCCCTGCAGACCCTTGTCCCGGCGGGTTCCAGCTCGCTGTCCCGGAGGTTCAGCCCCGTATCCCACAGCCCCGCGTCCCGCCGCGTACCCCCATTGTCACCCCGATACCCACCCGACCTCCCCCGCGTCCCCATTGTCCCCTGTGTCACCGCCGCGCCACCTCCGTCGCTCGCTGCGGCTTCTCCCGGCCCAGCTCCGCCTCAGCTCCGCCTCAGCTCCGACCCCGGTCCCCTCAGCTCCGGTCCCGCTCCGCCTCAGCTAGGACCCAGCTCCGGCCCCGCTCCCCCTTAGCTCGGACCCAGCTCCGGCCCCGCTCCCCCTCAGCTCGGACCCAGCTCCGGCCCCGGTCCCCTCAGCTCCTGTCCCGCTCCGTCTCAGCTCGGACCCAGCTCCGGTCCCGCTCCCCCTCAGCTCCGGCCCTGCTCCCCTCAGCTCCGGCCCAGCTCCGCCTCAGCTCGGACCCAGCTCCGGTCCCGCTCCCCCTCAGCTCCGGCCCCGCTCCCCCTCAGCTCCGGCCCAGTTCCGCCTCAACTCCGCCTCAACTCCGCCACATCCCGGGCCTGGCTCCGCCTCAGCTCCGGCCCAAACCCGGCCCCGCTCCGCCTCAGCTCCGCCTCAGCCCGGGCCCGGCCCGTTCTCGCTCCGCCCCGTGCGGCCTCCCCGGTACGGCGGGGCCGGGGGGACACCGGGGCGGCGGGAACGGAGCGAGGCCGGGGCCCCAGAGCTGCGGCCTGTGGGGAAGAGGGGAACCCCGAGCTGGGCCCGGGGCGCTGAACGGGAGTCCCGGGGGCTGATGGGGTAGGGGGGGGTCTGAACTGGGGCACCCGGTTAAACTCTGCTGAGGAGGATGGGTGTGAGGGTCCTGACGTGGGGTGTCGATTGAGGGGTCTGAATTTGGGTCTGGGGGCTTTATTTGGGAATCCTGGCAAGGGGGTGCAGGGGAGTTTGGGGCACCCTCGTCATGTTCTCCAGGGTGGGGTTTTGGGGGGCCCAGGCGTCCTGACATGGGGCGTCTCAATTGAGGGGTCTGGGGGCTTCATGTGGTGGTCCCAGGAGTCCTCACAAGGGGGTCCAGGAGACTTTGGGGTACCCTGGCCACGTTCTCCAGGGTGTGGTTTTGGCGATTCTGATATGGGGGGTCTGAATTGGGGAGTCTGGGGGTCTTGACCTGGGGGTCCTGGGGATCTGGCCAGGTTCTCCAGGGGTTTGGTTTTGGGGAGCTGGGGGTCCTGATGGGCAGGGTCTGAGCTGGGGGTCTGGGGGCTTTATTTAGGGCTCCCAAGGGTCTTGGCCAGGGGCTTTTGGGGGTGGTATTGGGGCTTCTGGAGGCGTGGAGGGGAGATGGTGTTGAGGGGTCTTGGGGGCCTGAGCTGGGAGTCCCATATCCGAAATGGGGGTTCCAGGAGTCCTGACCTGGGGGCTCCTGACTTGGGGGTCCTGGCCAGGGCATTCCAGGGGATCTTTCCTGGGGTCCCATATCCTAAATGGGGGTTCCAGGAGTCCTGACCTGGGGGCTCTGAGGGTCCCCAGAGCAGCAGTGTCCCCTGTCCCCCCCCACACAGGCCATGGGTGCATTGGAGCCCCCCAATTTCTCGTGGGTGGTCGAGGGGCGGCTGGCGGGGCTGGCGATGCCGCGGGAACCGGGGCACTACCGGTACCTGCGGGAGCGCGGCGTGCGACACCTGGTGTCCCTGACGGAGCGGGCCCCGCCGCACCACGGCTGCTGTCCCCAGATCCAGCTGCACCGGCTCCGCATCGCCGACTTCACCCCGCCGAGCCCCGAGCAGATCCAGAGCTTCCTGCAGATCGTGGAGGAGGCCAATGGCCGCGGGGAGGTACGGCCGGGGACACCCGGGGGAGGGGACAGCGAGGGGACACCTGGGGGACAACTGTGGGAAGACACTGAGGGGACAACTGGGGGAGAGTGGAGGGGACAATTGGGGTGGTGACACTAGGGGGGAAGACACCAGGAGAGACACCAGGAGAGGGGACACTAGGGAAGACATCTGAGGGAACACTTTGGGACACCTTGAGGTGGCATCTCAGGGTGGGGAACACCTTGAGGGGTGGAGGGGGACCTCGGCAGGGTGACACCTCAGGGAGGAGGGACACCTTGAGGAGGGATGTTTGGAAAGATGGCACCTTGGTGGTGGGGGACACTTTGGAGGGGGTGACACCTTGGGGGATGGATGCCATTGAAGAATGACAGTGGGAGGGTGACATCTTCAGAGAGTGACACCTTGGGGGGGTGACACCTTGGGAGATGGACACCTTGGGAGATGGACACCCCTTGAGGAATGACACCTTGGGAGGTGACACCTTGGGAGGGTGACACCTTGGGAGATGGACACCTTGGGAGATGGTCACTCCTTCAGGAATGACACCTTGGGAGGTGACACCTTGGGAGGGTGACACCTTGAGAAGGTGGCACCTTGGGGGATGGACACTCCTTCAGGAATGACACCTTGGGAGGTGACACCTTGGGAGGGTGACACCTTGAGAAGGTGGCACCTTGGGGGATGGACACTCCTTCAGGAATGACACCTTGGGAGGTGACACCTTGGGAGGGTGACACCTTGAGAAGGTGGCACCTTGGGGGATGGACACTCCTTCAGGAATGACACCTTGGGAGGTGACACCTTGGGAGATGACACCACTCAAGGAATGATACTTTGGGAGATGGACACCTTGGGAGGTGACACCTTGGGAGAGTGACACCTTGGGAGGGTGGCACCTTGGGGGATGGACACTCCTTCAGGAATGGCACCTTGGGAGGGTGACACCACTTGAGGAATGACACCTTGGGAGATGGACACCTTGGGAGATGGACACTCCTTCAGGAATGACACTTTGGGAGGGTGACACCTGGAGGGGAACACACACCTGCGGTAGGGCTGTGACATCTGGTGGCTGTGACATCTCAGGGAGTTGTCACTTCAAGAGGGGACACCTAGGAAGATGCGGGGAGGGGGTGACAGAAGGTGACACCAGGCAGAAATGGGCACCAAAATGGGCATCACCTGTCGCTCAGAGGGGCACGTGGGCATCCAGCAGTGCCACCCACTGCTGTGTCCCTGTGCCCAGGCCGTGGCAGTGCACTGCATGCTGGGCCATGGCAGGACTGGCACGCTGCTGGCCTGTTACCTGTGCAAGGAGCAGCACCTGGCAGGGGGTGATGCCATCCGTGAGATCCGGCGCCTCCGGCCCGGCTCCATTGAGACCTCAGAGCAGGAGCAGGCCGTGCTCCGCTTCTGCCAGTGCCTGGGGTAGGTGCCACCCTCCTGGCTGGTCCCCTCCTCCAGCTGTGGCTCCCAAATGTCCCCAGTCCTCTCTCACTGGTGGCATTTTCCCCTCCACAGCGCTGGCAAGGAGAGCTGAGGTCATGGATGGCATCCGTGGGATTGGGCACCTTGAGGTGCCAGGCGTGCCCAGCCCTGTCTGTCACCTCCTGCATTAAAGGACTGGCCTGTGGCTTCTCTCCAGGTCTGGTTTTGGGGTGCACGCTGGGGGGATGGTCTGCTGGGCACCCCCAGACCCAGCTTGGTTGGCAGCTGCATCCTGGGATTTGGGGTCCTGGCTCTGGGTTTGGGGTTCCTCAGGGTTCTGGTTCTGGATCCTGGGTTTGAGCTCCCTCAGGGCCCTGAATTTGGGGTCATTTAGGGTCCCAATTCTGGGGTTGTTCAGGATCCTGGCTCTGGGGTCCTGGGTTTGGGGTTCCTCAGGGTTCTGGTTCTGGATCCTGGCTTTGAGCTCCCTCAGGGCCCTGGGTTTGCAGTCATTCAGGGACCAGTTCTGGGGTTGTTCAGGATCCTGGTTCTGGGGTTCCTTGGGTTCCCAGTTCTTGGCTCCTGGCTCTGGATCCTGGCTTTGGGGTCCCAGCTCTGTGTCCTGGCTCAGGGGTTCCTCAGAGTCTTGGTTCCAGGATCTTGAGTCTGGGGTCTCTCAGGGTTGTGGTTCTGGGATCTCATGGTGTCCCAGTTCTGGGGTCTCTCTGGGTTCTGGCTTTGGGGTCCAACTCTGAGTTCTGGCTCTGGGACCCTTCGGGGTGCTCATTCTGGGGTGTCTCAGGGTCCCAGTTCTGGGCTCCTGGCTCTGGTCTCTGGCTTTGGAATCCTCACTTTGGGGCTTTGGCTTTGGGGTCCCAAATCTGGGTCCTGGCTCTGGGTTCTGGCTTTGGAATCCTCACTTTGGGGCCTTGGCTTTGGGGTCTTAGATCTGGGTGCTGGCTCTGAGTTCTGGCTTTGGAGTCCCAAACCTGGGTCCTGGCTCTGGGTTCTGGCTTTGGGGTTTTGGCTTTGGGGTCTTAGATCTGGGTCCTGGCTCTGGGTTCTGGCTTTGGGGTCTCAAATCTGGGTCCTGGCTCTAGGTCCTGGCTTTGGACTCCTCATTTTGGGGCCTTGGCTTTGGGGTCTTAGATCTGGGTGCTGGCTCTGGGTTCTGGTTTGGAGTCCTGGCATTGGGGTCCTGGTTCTGGATTCTGGCTTTGGAGTCCTCACTTTGGGGCTTTGGCTTTGGGGTCTTAGATCTGGGTCCTGGCTCTGGATTCTGGC